GCGGAGGTAGTTAGCGAGAAATTGAAGAACCCCGCGTTTCGCGGCCTATGTGCTTGGCGGGAAGTTGTTAATCGTTCAAGTGAGCTTCAAGTCTGCTGAATTAGCAGCGGTATTGTAAAACGCGGTGAGTTAGTTACTTTTAGAGAGCCTCGTAGTTAGAGTCTTGTCTTATTATTTCTTTTCAGGTTTTATTTTTATTTGACTGCCGAGTTGGCGTAGTTTGTGAGCGTCAAGAGCACGCAATTGTAATTTATTACGTTGAATAAAAAGGGACTTAAACCCTTAGCAAGACTCTGTCATTTTTTCCAGTTTCAACAGTCACCTCTTGGTTGCGTGCAAGTTGGAGGCGCGCAACTCTACAAGGTAACGTTACTTTTCTTCGCATTCCATATGGATTTCATAAATATAAGGCAGTATTCCCTTGAAAATCCTTTATGAAGAAACCCGTTGTTAGGTAGAGTTCTTCTAACTATCTTTCATTCAGTGTCTTAATTAAACATGTGATACAACTTTGCGTTTAATATTTGGGCTAGAAAGTGTGTTTATATTTCAAATTTTAATTACGTGATTGGTCGAGTTCTAACGGTATATTGGTGTACTAATGTGAGAAAACTGCTTTGCATACGCATACAATTGCAGCCAAAAACATCGCGGACGAAAACGTAGTGGAGAAAACAACGCAAGAAGAAAATATCATAGTACAAAACATCGTGGGAGAAAAAACGCAGGGAGAAAACATCGCAGCTCTAAAATATTGTGGTACAAAATATCATGGTCGAAACAAAGCGGTTCAAAAAGCATTTTTATACTGTATTTTTCATGAAAAATTATCAGTTAAACTTCACAAGAAAAAGCTTAAATTTCAATTACCTTTGTTAATTTACTATATACATTTAAAATTCTTTTAAGCTTTTTAAGTTGTATTAATGTTCTACCAATTTTCAATTTTTAAATGCTTAATTTTCCTTCTTATTTTTTCAGGAAAAATTTATTAGGTCGTTTAAATATATGAAATATAAAAGTAAAAGAATTCCTCTTTCCTTCTTTCCCTCTATGATCTTTATACGAACATGCATTTATAATTTCAAAACAGGAAAACGCATTTTGTGCGATGTTATCGTCATGCGATGATTTGTAGGTATTTTATTTTTTTGCGATGTTTTCTCCCACGATGTTTTTGTACCATGACGTTTTCTCCTTGCGTAGTTTTCTCCGCGACGTTTTCGGCCGCGACGTTTTCGGCGGACACCTACGTATACGTATGAACAGAAAAGACGGTTTTCCTTTCTAGAATTTTTTTTGAAGATCTATACCATTGAATAAACTTTTAACCCACAGCACAAGTAACTGAATCTTAACAAAGCAAGTTATGAATCAAAAGTGTATATTGTAAACTGCGTTTTTACTTAAATGCTTAAAATTGAAACTAAAATGTAGTCAGATGATGTAATAAAAGGGCTATGTTACAAAAGTCAATTTTACGGGAGCAACAAAAAACTATCCCATTTCTCACAAGAATGTCAGAAGACGCTTAAAAACCGCTGAATTACATGGATTCTGGTTGCATCGATCTCAATTTTTTTGGTGACTTCTAACATTCTTGTGAGGAATGGTATAGGTTTTTTTTTGCTCCTATACAATTTGACTTTTGTCACATAGCCCCTTTTTACATCTTCTGATTCAAATGATTCTGAGACATAAGCTTAACATCTGAGAGTTGGCCTAAAGTAATTCCTTAGTTTATGCATAAAACTTTAAAGCCTATTCAAGAGTCTGAATAGATTTAATATTAGTTATGTGAATTATTTACCTGTCTAGCTTTTGATACTTATTTATTATTAAATAGTAAAGGATTTGTATGAATATGTATGCGACTTAACAGTTAGAACTAAAATCTTTCCCTAGACTAAAATCTGCGTTGCAGAACATGTTTTAATTTCTTTTCGGCTTTAAAATATATTTAGTGCGTCGGCGAAAGGAAATTTAAGACTCCTTTATGAATCTGCCTTCGTGGAAAAACGTATTAAAACATGAAACATGAGTTTCTCATATCTGCATCCGATGCAGTGTAGCCACTCGATGCTGACGAAGGCTCACCTCCAGGTCTTAATGCTATGGAAGACATAGTGAGTTTTAAACTTCTACCAAAATCATGCAAAAATGATTCTGCGTGTATGTGTGGTAAATGAAGAAGGGTACCATCTTAGACAGCAGCTCCAAGTGCCTTAAATGGTGCGATTTCACTGTCGGATTCAAATGCGTGCCTCTGGAACTTTCCACCACTTTGTAGAAGTTGTTGGTTTGATACTGCCAGTAGCCATATGCTTGTCTCAAGGTTTAGCCACTCATGTCTAGGTATATAAGGTAAGTGAGGGTTAGTCATAAAAAAACTTCCTCGATGTATGAACCTCTAGCGGCCTATCCGTTCAACCGATAGAATCATTACTTGAAGGTAAGTGTTCGAGATTGTAGAGATTCAAAACAATTGAGCTCTCACGTTTACGATTACAGTGAGAAAATTTAGAATTTTTAAAATACAAACACCAACTTTTTTTCTGCTCGAATTGATCAGCACATTGAAAATGGAGGTAGCGTTGGAACGATAACGTATGACGAAAATTTGAGGCATAAAAAGTTTTGCAAAGAAGAGTATTCTAAAGGACCAGTGACAAGACAAGAGAGTAAACTTTTGATTCATAACTTGCTTTGTTAAGATTCAGTTACTTGTGCTGTGGGTTAAAAACAGAAAAACGTTTGTTGTAATTTGCAAAACGTTTTCACCTTCACAGACGATAACGACGAACGTAACATCGCAGGAGGAATCTGTGTATCTTCACATTTCGTGGCATCTTTCAGTTCTTACAAATCTCTGGCATCTGATGTGTACACCTTAGATTTTAAGAGACTCCAAAACCAGAAATCTATGGGAATGCGGTCGGAGATGGCGGTGGCTACAAAATTGTACAGTTGGCAGGAGATATGGATTCTGGTTTTCAAACTATTTAATTTCACTGAAACACAAAAATGTATATATCTCGAATGAATATTTATCTCACAAATTAATAGGTTAACTTTGTTTAAATTTTCAGAATTCTATCCCATTTATTATTTCTTTATACTTTACATTCAACTCATTTTACAGTCAGCTTAAATTATTATCTATTCACGTAAACTCTTCATCAATTATAGATTACTAATTATTTAGAAAATATTCATTAAATTAAGACTAAATTTTTTTTATCCTAGGGCAAGTCTGAATTTCTTTAAGTTGGAAAGGCATTGATATAATACCGCTAGAGCCTCATCATTTTAGCGTATGATATTTTTAACTACTGAAGGAACAAAAACTCCTTCTGTTCATGGCATTGTTTTGTAATATAGTTTTTATAAAAAAAAAAAAAAGAACTTAAACAATTTTAAAAATCTTAACAAATTCTGTTTCAGGTTCAGAATTAACTTTTTTGTTCTTTTCTTCTGTATAATTTGAATTATTGTAAGTATAAAATTTGCACGCTTTCATTGCTACCATATTATTTCTAGAAAGCAAGAACAGATTAGAGTATAATCTATAAGATAATTCTCTCACCTTCCTAGCATGCCTTCGTGGTGTAGTGGTTCTCCACACTGGGCCGGTATTCCAGAGGCCCGTGGTTCGATTTCTGGCGAAGGCGGTTTTATATTTTTCATCTCTCCTGCTTCTAAAAATACCTAATATCTCTAGAGTGGCGCCAGAACTAAAAGGATGGTGAATGATGATTTCTCCCTCCCCCCAGGATTTGGCGACTGGGTCCCTAAAAATCCCAGTAGCCATTTAAAAGGGGGAGTATATAAGGTAATTCTCCCACCTTCCTAGCGTGCCTTCGTGATGTAGTCGTTCTACACACTGGGCTTCCAAAAATACCTAATGTCTCTACAAATCTTTTAATTGCTTAATGTCTATTGATCATTCCTAATCAGCACTGAAAAGTATCACTCTTTAATATACATACGCATTTTTAATGTATAATGTAGAAAGTGTGATATGTCATGAGTTGTATTACGTTTCGGACAAAAAAAAAACCTTTTAAAAGATTTACAAAAAATATTAGCAGAAAAATTGTTATTAAAAATAAAATTTGAAAGACATCTGAAGTCATTATGACGTGAAATGGAACATGGAAAAATATATTACTGATTTATTACGTGAAATAAAGTAATTAAAATAATTTTATGGATAGCGAAAAAAATCATTAAATGTTTAGCTAAATCGAAGCAAAATTAATCACAACGTACCTTGGCTTTACAGAAAAAATATACATTTTTCGAGACATACACGGCTTTATGTTTGTTTAAGAAGCAAAATCGTTATCTGTGTTCATGTATGGATATTCTTCTGAAAAATATTCGAATACATTCTGTTTCAAAGAGTTTCTGAACGTATTACCTGTTTGAAGGATGGGGATTTCGTGACTTTCTCCTTTGAAATGCAGACTTCTTCTCGCAAGAAAAACAAGGTTATTCTAAGATTGATTTTTGCTTAGATTCAAAGTTGTCCTGCTCAGTTTCCGTTCAGACTTAACGTTATCTCATATAAAGAATTTATAAAAGACACTGTGAAAACAATGAAAAAGGAAAATTCACATCATTATTTTTTAAAATGTAATATTCCTAAATTTGGAAAACAATATCATTTTTATGCATTACATATACCTTTAACATTATATAACATTTTCTCTACTACCCTTTCCTAAATGAATATTTGAAAATTATGAATTTCTTCAACGGAATATTTAGTATGATTCAGAGCGCATGACACGGTTACACGTTTCTTTAAAATGTATAACGTCGTTTTATTGTTTTTATATTTTAAATTTTTTTCAGTAATTAAGTAATTAGAACGATTCTATGTTAAAAACGGATGAGTTTAATGTTTTTCATTTTTAAAGAAATTTTAATATCTTATTAAAATTATTTTCATTTCATGAAATTAAAAAACACAGTACTTAAGAGCAATTACTTACGAATTAATTTCTTGAAGCTACGTAGAAAATCAGTAACAGTATAAATTTCTGTGCAACTTCCTCACATGACACACATCAGTGTAGGAGATTCACCGATCTGTCCGCAAGAGTCGGTTCTTTGGCGGTAACTGGAAAGGATCAAATCAGCATCCACAATTCTTCGGCCTCCATAGAGCATGCGCAGGGGAGGCAGACAGTAGCTAGTTGGGCTATCGCAATTGATTGCTTTTAATCATATTTGATTTGCAAATGCTGTTCAGAAATTATTACGAGGAAATTGGATCTTGTCGTTTAAGCAGACCGTTATTTTATAAAAGAGATTTATATTGCCATTGCGTATCTCCGAAGATTAAGAACTCTACAATGTTGTTTAAAATCAAGTTTTCTTTATTTTTTCGATTTGAGCTATAATTGATATTTTCTATTTAAGAGAATGAAAAGTTGTGAAGCAAATATATGATCATATATTTTACTTCCCCCTCCTCAATGTTAGATACGTCTTTAGAGGAGTACTTTTGAAAGATTTGGATGATTACATTGTAGAGATATTAGTTTATTTTTAAGTTGGAGTCGTGAAAAATGAGCAATGCCCTCGCTGAATCGAATCTGGACCTCTCTCGAATACGCGAAAAGTGTGTATATCGTTACGCCACAAAGGCATGCTGAAAGGAGAGAGAAAATACCTTATAAAATTAAATTAAGTCTTCCCGCATATATCACTTATGTGGATGCACAAATGTTGCTTTTGCGCGAAACATTGAATTGCTTTACGCACGTGACAGTTGATAACTGGCTAAGTGGCCGAAGACTAGTGGTCTTGGCAGGAAATACTGTCCTTCAGTTTAATTTAATTTTAATTATATGTCTAAATTTACAAGACCACCCTAAACTTCTGATCTGTGAGTTAAATACATACCTATAGGTAACTGATGACCAACTGTTTTATAAGGCATTTTCTCTTTTCTTTCTGCATGCCTTTGTGGTGTAACGGTAGCACACTCGGCGTGCATTCGAGAGATCCAGGTTCGAGTTCCGGCGAGGGTACTGCTCATTTTTCACGTCTCCAGAATCAAAATGGCCTGGTGACTCTGCAGTGGCACCCGAACAGGGAGTGAACAGACGAATCTTCGCCACCAGGATTTGGTGATTGAGTCCCCTAACCCCAGTTGCCCTTTAAAAGGGGTAGTACATAAGGTATTTTTTCCCTTCTTTCTGCATGCCTTCGTGGTGTAACGGTAGCACAATCGGCGGCTGTTTGAGAGGTCCAGGTTCGAATCCTGGTGAGGGTATTACTCATTTTTCACATTTGTAGCATCAAAATGACCTCGTGATTCCACAGGTTTGACGGTATCCTTTGATATAATTGAATTTTTGTTATGTGCTTAAATCTAAATATATAGTCAATAAGTATCTAATTTAACCTAGTAAATACATTTAGACCTAAATATAATACCTAATCTAACGTATTATTACTTAACATAAATACAATCACCTCATACCGGAAATCATCAACCCTTAAGGTTCCGATATTCTTCTGTTTAATTTCATATTAACAATCCATCCATAGCTACTCGATCTCGCATTATCGTGCACAGAGTCGGTTTGCATCACCTTCGGTTTAATGTTATTTAAATAATATGTGTTTTATGCAATTTTAAATATTTACATTTCATTTAAAATACATTTCATTTAAAATATGTTTGACTGATAATTTTTCTATATCCTTCTAAAATTACATTTTAGATAATAAAATGTAATTTTTATGTAACATGTTAATTACGAAGTTTTCTAAGGTACAAATAAAATAATTTTCGTATGTTTGTAATTAGGAGAAAGGCAGTAAGATCAAAACAGGCATAAAATCATGTCAACAAAAATAAAAAGTTATTGTTCATCTAATCGACATACGATCTTCTAGTTGTAACCAAAACTCTAAACTATAAATAATCTTTAGTTAACTAAAATAGTTAAATAATCTCCAATAAATTGTATTTCAGAGTAAACAGACAAGCTACAAAAAGACAAGTTATTTCTATTTGAAGTACTGAGATGACAGGGGAAAAGTGGTCCGAGGTCGTCAGCCCTAGGGTGCTTTCGTTCAAAGCTTCTATGAAATGTGAGTAGATAATCTTCCTAAACTAAATAAACTGTGCGCATTCAGACAGCCTTAGTCTGGTAAATTTGGAAGATGCGAAAAGTCTTAGTCTCAAGAATCTAGTAAATTTGAAAGGTGGAGACGAATTGGCCACCATGTTAATAATTCGGTATCTTGATTTGGTATTCGAATTTGGAAGGTGGATGGTATTAATTCTTCTCCACTTTCCAGATTTGGATACCAGATACATATTATTCCAAAAGGTCATCAAGAATTAGATAACGTCAAAACAAATTATATTTTCATCTTCAGGCAAATGCAAGATCTTCCATTAACCATATTTCCACGCAAAACGAAGATAATATTTTCACAAATTGAAGTGTCAAGTCGTTAGGATTTTTGAAGTAGGAGACATGAAAAATGAGCGATGCCCTTCCCAGGACTCGAACGGGGACCTCTCGAATACGCGCCGAGTGTTCTGACCCTTACACCACAGAGGCATGGAGAAAGGAGAGAGAAAATACCTTACATACTTCCTCTTTTTAAAGAGAGACTGGGATTAGGAGACCCAGTCGCCAAATCCTGGTGGTGAAGAATCATCATCCGCCACCTTTAGTTCGGGCGTCGCTGTAGATCTATTAGGTATTTTCTTGGATAACCAATGCCCTCGCCGTGACTCGAAATTGGACCCCTCGAATACGCGCCGAGTGTGCTAACCGTTACACCACGAAGGCGTGCATAAAGGAGGGAGAAAATACGCAACTAATGTTTCAAATCATTCAGTAATAGCTACTTAACTTCAGAGCCGGGACTCTAACCTGGACCTCTCGAAATCGCGTTGAGTATGCTAATCGTTACGCCTCAAAGGCATGTTGGAAGAAGGGAAAAAATACCTTATAAACATTACGGCCATACCATGCTGAAAGTACCGGCCCTCGTCCGATCACCGAAGTCGAGCTGCATCGGGCGCGGTCAATACTTGGGAGGGTGACCTTATAAACATTTAAAAGAAACCTCAATGTTCCAGAGCTTAAGGGTTAAGGCAAAAGGAGTAAGATACCTTTGCAATGTTATTTTTATGTTCCCCATCAAAACTAGGATGAAGCTGGGTATTCTTGACTACAACAAAATTTATGGATATTTTTGTTAACAATAATTAAATAAAAGTGAAAATGTTATTTATTTAAGCTTAATTCAAAATACTCCATGCAAGAATTAAAAATTTTCAGAAACATAATGAAACTAAATTTATAAACATTTACAATTTGGAATCTTCAAATTAAAATTTTTGAAGAGTTTGCCGTTAAAACTTCCAAAGTAGTTACCAAAATGTTGAAAAAATGGGGAAAATATCCTGACATTAAAGGAAACTGTAAGCTGATCTTAGTATACTTCAGTTTAACTCTTGAAATAATTAAGCTAAGTTTTCACGTTAGATTTAATAACTTAAAAAGTATTATTACCCAGAAATAAAGGTGCATGGAATATAAAATCTAACTTCAGAAGAGACTATTCAAACTTTGCAACAGAAAAAAAATTCGCCATTCTTCATCGTAAAATAAAGGCACATTGAGGCTTGAGAGCTTATTTAAGAAAGGATGTAATTATTCAAGACCTAGTTTCACGTAGTCTTTCGCTAGATCCTTACGCTCAAGTTCGCAGCAAATATTTCCCTCAATGGGCTGCACTTTATGTTTTTCCAGAGCACTGCAAAGAATGAACACCTCGAGAATGTTTCCTTCGAGGTGTTTAATTAACGGCTTTCTCAACGATGTTTTGGGAAAACACAGTTATTTTCTACTACTTAAATAACTCTTGGAAATATGGCAGATTTTTATAAAACTCTTTCATATTCTTTCGTCACTAAAATAAAAGTATTGCTGCGCTATACGACTGAACTCTGGAGAAGAAATATTACCCTCCTAAAATTCAACTTTTATATTCTGTAAGATAAACGTAATCCCCAGTTTGGCTGGAATTTTCATTGGAAGCATATGCGAAGAAACGTGAAAAAAAAAAGTGTAGAGAATTTTCCAGAATATTTTAAAAGACCGTTCCTCTATTCATATATTTCAGACCTAGACAGTAATTGTAAGTATTATGCTAGAGCTAAAGTTATTCTAAACTTATCCTGGTTTAATTAAAAATAAAAGGTAACTGCGTTCCATTTATGTTTGTAAAATCATTAAAATATCATATAAATTAAAATGAGTGAAATTCTTTAGCAAATTTTGTATAAAATAAATAACGTAAGATTAAAAACACACGCTACTTATTTTCTCATTGCAAATAGTATAATTTTTGTAGATTATAATTTTTGAAGAGTTTGCTATTAAACTAAAGTTTAAGTAGTTATTAAAGTGATAAAAATAGGGAAAATATCCTTATTATCCATTATAAGAAGGATTAATTAGAAGAGAGATAAACTAAACTGCATAAATGTCATTCGATTATTTTAAAATTTTGGAAATTTATACAAACTTAATTTAGATAAAATTTTAAATAATCAAAGATTTTAAAATTATTAATGATTCTGCTAAATAATTTTTTTATCTCCATGTTTAAATATTTTGTTCCGGATAAATGGAATTAGAAGTAACTTATATCAAAAATGCAAATTTTCCCATTAATAGTAATTCTTGGCTCTATCAACAGCCTTTATTTACAGTTTATCATATTGTTTGTAGTTAGTTACGTTAGATCCTGAAAATAAATCAAAATATCTGTGAATTTCTGTTTGTTTAAGCAAGGGTAAATAATCGTTGCAAATAAAGAAAGCTATTAAGAGAATCACGAAATTTTATGAAAACTACAATATGTGACATTTATTGATTTCTTTTTTAGAGGTAAATATGATTTAAAAACGTAAATAAATTATTGATTTTTTAGGTATTTATTCATAATCTTTTCATATTACTGTAACTCAGTACCATTTCAATCAAGTATTCAGTTCCCCCCTTTCAGTTTCAAAATTCATCTCGATGTTTAAGACATATTCAGCTTAGTCAAGTTTTGGGAG